ATAGTAATCTTAAAAGATTCTTGTTTCAGAGAGAGCTTCAAAATTTTTGTTTACTTCTATTGAGTCATTTTCTCTGCATCCACGACTCTAAATCGACTCCAAAATTCTGTCTTTTTAATATATTTCAGGAAGGAGGTCAGTATCTTGAGATGGGTTTGTGTTGAATTGGTGGATGGATAGTTGAAAGATTCAATTCAAAATGGAGCCTCCAAAGGGATTTCTTGCTTCTTTGTTGCAATTCTTAATCTTCCTTCCTTATTTCATTGGACTACTGTTTCTGGGTGTCATCAAAGGTATATAAAGTTTGATTGAATCTTTACTTAAATCTTAACATTGCTTCTATGTTTCGCACTTTACCTCTAGATTGTGTTGATTGGGTGTCATTAAAGATCTAACCTTTCCATGAATTTCTACTACTTATAACCTCAACTACTTTGATTCTGTTTAGGCTCAGTTAGGGTTAACAAAAGGGTACTCCTTCCACAGTTTGTGAAGATGTAATGAATGGAGTTCTGTTGTCATCTGTTAGCATTGCCTTTGTAGATTCATTTCTAGTTAAATCGAATTCAGCACCTAATGCATGAAGTTGTTCTTATCAAACTCACTAGTTTCAATATACCGGAACAGTTTTCTGATCTGAAAGACTCTCTTTCTTTGTTGCTTAGGTATCGTTTTATGCCCGTTGGTATGCCTCGTTTTGACCATTGGCAACACCGCGGTTATACTCGGTCTTTTGCCTGTTCACATCGTTTGGACGTTCTATTCAATACTGAGGTTATTAACGCCTCTGCTGAAACTTTCTTACTTATTCCAATCCCTTTTGTTATCTTTCTTGATATTAAATTTTGGTTCCTCTAACACGCAGCGCCAAACAAGTAGGACCGGTCTTGAAGCTCTTTCTATGCTTATGTCTTCCTGCAGCCATCATTCTCTGGCCAATTCTTGGTATTATAGCTAGTGTTTTGGGAGGAGCTTTATATGGTTTCTTCTCCCCGATTTTCGCCACCTTTGATGCGGTTGGCGAAGGGAAATCTTACCAGCTTTTCCATTGCTTTTATGTAAGCTTCCTTTTCATTCCATTCTCCTCGCTTCTTCTGTTTGACCCATTTAATCATTATCCGTTCTTTCGAGTGTAGGATGGAACTTGGAGCTCCATCAAACGTAGCTTCACCGTTGTCCGCGATTTTAAAGATGTGTGCTTTCACTCTTACTTCTCACTCATGGACGAGCTTAAACAATGTTGCCCTGATCGCAAATATTATGAAATAAGGTTGATAAATACATATGCTTAGTCATAAGTTCTTTTGTGAAAATGATCTTTCAATAGTACCTTACAGTCTGTATCTATTCTCAGGCTACTTCAACTTCCAGGGACTTTGGTAGCTTTGTCTCTCGGGATTCTTGTTGATTTCCCGGTGATCACACTTGTAGCCATATACAAAAGCCCTTACATGCTGTTCAAAGGATGGCACCGTTTGTTTCATGATCTAATTGGACGGGAAGGTCCATTCTTGGAGACAATGTGTGTCCCCATCGCAGGCCTTGCGATCTTACTATGGCCTTTGGCTGTCACGGGCGCAGTTATTGGATCAGTCGTCTCTAGTATCTTTCTTGGTGCTTATGCAGGAGTAGTCTCATATCAAGAATCATCTTTTTACTATGGACTCTGCTTTGTAGTTGCCTCTGTGTCCATTTACGACGAGTATAGCAACGATATACTTGACATGCCTGAAGGATCTTGCTTTCCCAGACCAAAGTATAGAAAAAAAGAGGAGGAATCAACGCCTTTTTCAGGTCCTATACCAAGACTAGGCTCTGTCAAGAACACGGCTTCAACAAGATCAGGATCGGTCAGAGTCCCTTTGATTGAAATTAAGCCTCTCGAAGTAAGCACAAAGCTTATCCATCACGCCCGATTGGAAAAATCGAAACTTTTTGGTGTTTTTGATTTTGATGTCTGTTGAACTCTTGCAGCTTTTGGAAACTCTCTTTGTGGAATGTAGGAAGTTTGGAGAAATTTTGGGAACAGAAGGACTGATAAATTCGAAAGATATCGAAGATGCGAGATCTAGTAAAGGCAGCCAAGTGATCAGCGTTGGTTTACCGGCGTATTCACTCTTTTACGAGATTATACGCTCCGTGAAAGCCAATTCCGTCGGCTTGTTACTCAGTATAGTTTCTATCTCTTTGGCTTTGATTATGAAGTTTTCCAATTCCATCTTAAATCATCAAGAAACTGACCAAAGGACACATCTTTGATTTTTTGAATAGGTGACGGTGTAACTGAAATAACTAGCAAGAACCGACCGAAAGATGCCTTCTTTGATTGGTTTTTCCATCCGTTTTTGATTCTCAAGGAGCAACTGAAAGCTACAAACTTGTCCGATGAAGAAGAAAAGTATCTCGGAAGGTTGATTTTGTTGTTTGGAGATGCCGAGAGGGTAAAGAGTTTGAATGCCAATTCCGCTTCTCCTCCTTTGACCGAACGCAAAAGAGCCGAATTTGAAGCCTTTGCTCGCAGGTAAAGAAAATCGCCAAAAAGTTCATTTTCTAGAGAAGTTTGTGTTTTTTCTTTTTATAATTCCATCTCTCTTTGTGTGGTTGTTAGAATTCAAGGGCTAATAAATACGGTATCAAGGTATCCAACATTTCGCCGACATTTTGTGGAATTAGTGAAGAAACTATCGGATGATTTGGACCTGAAAGATGGTGGTTCGGTTAAGGAAGGATCGTTAACCGAAGCGCCAGCTCCAGTTAAGATCATTTCTCGGATATTCAGTCAGAGATCATTCAGAAGAAAAGGGAGTGTCAATGGATCCGATCAAGAATCGCGAAAGGGTGTCTCAAGGAATGTAGATATCGTCTAAAACATGGGACGTGTGGATATATGAAGCTTAAAGAAACTTTGTTCTTTGGTCGATAAAAATGTCGTTCCTTGTAAAGATTTTTCAGAGAGATTGTTTTGATTTATAGAACAGTGTAGTATCTTTACGTTTATGAAACTGTTCATTAGTACGTAAACAAGAATAATTAGTGATGATAAGTTTGTCAAATCATCTTTATGCTCTTCTTGTGTAGTCTTAGTTTCAATTGTTGCATAGTTGATAAGGAAAAATTTTAGTTGACTTTGACTGCATATTCCGTCTTTTTATTTTGTGGTTCTGCCTCTTTTCTCGACTCTTTTGCTCTTGTTCTTCTAGAACTATATGCATCTCCCACATGCTAATGAACTTCGTTACTTTTTTTCAAATCTTCTATTTAACTTCTTGTGGATTTTGTCAATAATTGTACAAGTGTTCACAACGAATATGAAGATGTAGCTAATAGTTGTGATTCATTCAACAAAGTTATACCAAATCCTGAAATTAGTACAACATCTTTTTTATTATTATCAGAAGCATTCAGACATTTGGCTCATAATCCCCTCGACTAAAGACTAAACCATATAGATTAAAACCATATAGATTAGTGCCTTCTCTGACACTGATATTCAAACTCGTAACTTTGAGACGAAATTTATATTAAAAAGTTTCGTAGTATACCAGTAAAACTATAGACTTATTAGAAAACATATTTGATTGTAGTTTTTTTTTTTTTTTAATAATTGCAATATCTCTTTTTATTAGACTTGCATGTACGAATTTACTGATTTACTTCACTTCAATAGATATAACCTGAATTATGTATATGCCCTATCTAATCATGTGAATGTGATTTTGTTCTACTATCAATCAATAATGCTTTTTATTGATAAATTTGACTTGTATTGTATGATGTTGCAGTGAAATATAATTTCAACAAGTCTTTTCTCTTTCTGTTCCTGGCTTTGACAAAGATAGGTTTCACTTTTAATAATTGGTTTTGCTATGCTTTTCATAATGGCCAAACCTGATAGAAGCAAAACATTTTATTTGATTTCACATGAATTCTCTTCCTTGATTTTGAAATGACAAAATTTCTTCATTGTGATCATTAACAATATTATAAGAATAACTGCACAAAGTGTTCCTCCTCTCTTGCCAAACGGGACGCAGTTCTTCTTCTCGTGTCCGTTTTTTTTACCAGATGAAGATATCCAATGAAACAAAGCCACGTGTTAGATAATTCGGCACCCTCTCGAGACGACCACGCGCCTTTGAAAATATCCAGTGGTGTGTTCGCCACGATGCACCAAAGTCGGTATCCACAATGAACGGTCACAATTGATTCAAAGCTTCATATGTTCAAAAGATCTACGGCTCTTCTACGTAGATCAAGCTTAACCTCACGTTTACAAATATGCACACGTCGATAATCTCCTGTGTCTTTATATATATATTATTAGAAAATTAATTATCGTAAAAAAATATAAATAGTTTAATCAGCCATTTTGCAATCGTCATCGTTTCTCTCACTGTCTTCCACCGAGAAAATGGCGACCGGTTTGATGGGAAGATTGATTGGAACAAAGCCGTCGAGATTAACCGCGGCGGCGAGGTTGATTCCGGCGAGATGTACGGCATCGGTAGCGGAGGCGGAATCAAAACCTTCGTCTGGCGGCGGAGGAGGAAGAGGATCGAACTTGAAGACTTTCCAGATCTACCGATGGAATCCTGATAATCCAGGGAAGCCACAGCTTCAAGATTACCAGATCGATCTCAAGGATTGTGGTCCGATGGTTTTAGATGCTTTGATTAAGATAAAAAACGAGATGGATCCATCGCTTACATTCCGTCGATCTTGCCGTGAAGGGATCTGTGGTTCATGTGCTATGAACATCGATGGTTGCAACGGACTCGCGTGTTTAACGAAGATTCAAGATGGATCATCGGATACAACAATCACACCTTTGCCTCATATGTTTGTGATTAAGGATCTTGTTGTTGATATGACCAATTTTTATAATCAGTACAAGAGTATTGAGCCGTGGTTGAAGAGGAAGAATCCACCGTCTGAGCCTGGGAAGGAGATTCTACAGAGCAAGAAAGATAGAGCTAAGCTTGATGGGATGTATGAGTGTATTCTCTGTGCTTGTTGTAGCACATCTTGTCCTAGTTACTGGTGGAATCCTGAGTCTTACCTTGGCCCTGCTGCTTTGCTACACGCAAACAGGTAAGTGACACATTAAGATAGTGTTGCTGATTGTTTGGAGAATTGCTTATTGAACAATGGATATAGAAGTTTTCCTTAGGGGGAATTGGTTGCAAATTTTAGGACTAGGAACCTTCAATCTTGGAATCTTCCATTGAGAATTTGCATGGATGGTTCAGAAGATTTGTATATCTTGTTGTTAGTTGCATTGATTCCCCACTTAATGTGATTCTTGACGTCTGTTTTGCTGCCTGAACTGAATTGTATTTCCTTTCCAATCTGTCCTTGTCGAAACTGCATGTTCAATGTTTTGGATTTTGAAGCTGATTTTTAACTGAGTTGTTCGATAAAGTTTCCATGTGTTTTTAACAAAAGACTTATTCACATGTGCAGGTGGATAAGCGACAGTCGTGATGAGTACACTAAGGAAAGACTTGAGGCTATTGATGACGAGTTCAAGCTTTACCGTTGCCATACGATCTTGAACTGCGCTCGTGCTTGTCCAAAGGGTTTGAATCCAGGGAAACAGATCACACACATCAAGCAACTTCAGCGTTGAAGTACGTATTGGGAAAGCTCATCACAGTTTAACATTTGAAGCTAATAAATCTTCACAAAACCTTCGGTTTTCGATTGATTATTTTATTGTTGTTGCCAAGTATTAGTGCACCTGAAGAAGCTCTTTTGCAAGTCCTCCACCCAAGTAGATGAGCTTTGTGGTTGTATCTTGCTGAAAAAATCTCTCTTTTACGTAATAAAACTCGAGAAAACTTAAACCTCCTCATCTACTCTTTTGTGTTACATCTGCATTGTCAATGCATAAAAACATTACATGCAACTGTGTCTACACATGAACACAACATGAAATATTATCATTACCTTAGCCATAGAAAATATCACATCATCAATTTGGTTGTCCAACTTCCTTGACTGCGTAAGTATAACTTGCAAGTACTGGCACAAACAAGAAAGATGTCACCGACAACACTCGCTCTGTTCCTTGTCTCCTTGGTCGTTATTGGCTGATGTTGTTCCAGCAGCAAAGAGGTTCAGTTCTTTCTCAGTTCTGAGGAACATGAGAAGTCTGTTTTTCACTGTGGAAGGTACCATAGCTTTGAATACTTGTTGGAACCGTGATTTTGAATCAATTGGGCCATTGAGTGGGCTTGTTGTTTTGTCAAAATGGGTTCTAAAATGTGAATGAGAAAAGCCTCTTGYTTGTTAAGTGAGTGACACTTAAAAAGTCCCACATKTAAAGTTTGGGAGTTTTTCATAGTGTATATATATGGTCACTCATGTGTCTATGTTCAAAACATAATACATCTATGGACCAAGTGTGAGAGGAGGGAAACTCCATACGCGCGCCGAACCGAGCCGGGCCGGGTTTGGGCTTGGGCTTGGGCAATTGGACCTAAAGTCCATCAAGACTATTCTTTTTGGACCAAGTAAATGGGTTTTTTAAAGCCTCTCGTTTTTGGCCCAAAAACATGTAAATGGGCTTGTAAAAGCCTTCCCGGTTTGGCCCAAAACACTCATAAACCGCTCGGCGGTTTCTCTTGCGGTTAAGGCGGTTTTCTTCGGCGGTTTTCCCACAAACCGCTCGGCGGTTTTCTTACGCGCTTAACTGCTCCGTGACGGTTTTAAAACCGCTCTCCCTTGCGCCTATATAAGAAGCCATCGTCTTCTTCCTCCTCTGCATTCTGAGACACACAGAAAAACTCATTCAAAACACAATCTCTCCGTTCATCCGTAAGTTCTTTCCCGAGAGTATCGMTTTTATCAGTTCGTTAGAATCYTTGTTTCGAGTGCTTGCGAACACGATTATCAGT